TCTTGTTAAATATTAACTATATGTGCATGTATGTATGTTTGGTTGTGCGTGTGTATGTGTGGGTGCCTGCCTGCCTGCCTGCCTGTCTCCTCAGCCATTCGAGGCTTCTCCCCGCAGCATCGGATCAGCAGTTTCGAGGAGGCCAAAGGTCTGGATCGGATCAACGAGAGGATGCCTCCACGTCGCGACGCCGTCAACAGTGTGGGCCTGTCGATGGGCCGCATGAACATGGGAGAGCCCAATGGGACCGACAGCAACAGCAATATTCAGTGATGGACGTACACTCCCACATGCCCAGACACATACCTGCAGTTACAACTCTGATATGGTACCATATTTATAGATTTGTGTACATAAGCATATATACATAAGAGAAGTGCACTACACAAACACACACAAACACAGTATTTTATACATGGAATAGGCTACAGACGACATCACACACATACAATCACACACGATTACCTACCCCCTTTCCCGTTGCCCTCAGCTGTATGTAAAGGCATGAGCATACCCGGACTTTACCACCAAAGGCTGAGTCCCTTCACTGAACTTCGGTCCTATTTAGAGAACTACAACTCCCATGTACCTGCACAACAACAGGAACGAAACTACAAAAACACTCCCCATGCAAAACAGGAGGAGCTGCGGTTCACTGTGTATGTCGGGGATCACCAGTGGGTTGACAGTGTCAGCATGACGTGGCTGTGTTGGTGGTGTGTGTTGTGTTGGGTGGGGATTGGGGCATTAAAGATACGTATGCTTCTTTTTCCTGTTTGCATTCCAAAACAGGAAGTGGAATCAAACTTGGGATTGGTGGATTTTATAGAGTTGTGGATATGCCTGCCTGCGTGCGTGCCCATGCTTCAACATGTAGATGTCCACATGGTTATATTTGAAAATGTGTTTTCATTTGTGAAGGCGAGCAGATCTCGCCATCAGCCAGGCAACAGCGAGAACATTTTTGATGTGGCTTATCTGTTGCCGAGAGATATGTGTGGAGATGATCTCAGCTGCAGTCTAATCTGAGCCCTCGCTGTCCTTTTCTTCTTGGAAGGAGAGTCCCATTTGCTTTTGTAGCACTACACTGCACCGATCCTCCGCTTTAAGTCAAGTGGAGGATGCCCCTCCACCCAACACTCTGATGCCAGGCCAGTTAGCTCTCGGGAAAGGCTTGAAACTGGGCCCGGATCAGACTTGAAGCGAGTGTTTCTCCCTACCTTTTCCGTGTAAATAGGTTACATAAAGAGGTTTTATTGCACATCCGATGCATATGTTCACGAGATGCAAAATGCAGAATAGAAGGAGTAGGATGCTTTATGTATGTGAGGGAGCCGGGGGGAGTTGAAATGTGAAGTCATACTCTATTCAGTCTCTTTCTACATCCTCCTTTCTTCCCGTGTTGCTGTCTGCTACCAAACAGCAGTGATGGCCGGGGCTTAGAAACCAGAAATAATATTTCACGGAGGAAACAGACTCTTCTGTTGAAGACAACAAGAAGAAGTCAGAAGAAAAGCTCTTTGTAAAGCATTTATATTAACGCATCAGTGCATGCACAGTTAAGTTCTTTGATAATAATGTGAAGATTATATTTGTGCTCTGTGTTTCACTATGGTAGGATTTTCTTTTTCTTTCTGTTTTTCTGGCTAATATAAATGAACTGAGGAATAATGAATACTTTATTTTGTACATACTGTTAATTTATTTTTTGTATTAATTTCATGTTATACTTTGTTATTTTTTGCTTTTTTTCATGTTTTCTCCTTTCTTTTTCACAGCCTTTGTTTCCGGTTTCTTTCGACGCTGTACAGAATGACAGTACGCTTCTATTCAAAGTGTCACGTCCACGTTCTCTCCTCTCTTCTTTGTCGATGTACATGAGTTGTTTTTAATGATAAATATGAACAACGATGAACAAATAAGAAACGAGCATTGATGAATGACCATACTATATACAGAGGCACAGGCATTCAGGCAGCCAAAAGCATGATTGCATGGTTAAATTTTGCGCTGTTCGTGGCAAAAAGCAGCAAGACACATTTTAACAGAAGAGCCGGTGTGTTGCCGTCACAATTTAAAGGAAAAAAGTGTACTCTCTCTGATCATAATTCTTGATGATTCCTCTTGTTATTTGATGATATTTATGATTCTATGATTATTATGATTCTATTTATTATGGACATTATTCTTAATATTTAAGCTCTCTCTCTGCTGGTTGCTCTTCATGTTGCGTTGCTCCTTGGTTGATCTTGTTGTGCTTCTTTGGGAGAGGTGAACCCCCCTGGGAGACCCTGTGCCATAGAAATTGTGCCACGGTTATTACTTTACTCTTACTCTATCTCTCTCTCACTCTCTCTCTCTCTGCTCTCTTTCTGTTTTCACTCCCCAGTCACTAACACTGTAAGCATGCCCCATGGGACGATCCACTTTTTTACTCTTGAATAAAATATGCATGAACCTTTGGTATGTATACTGAGTCTTTATTCCATTGGACACACCCATACTCACAGATCACAATACAAAAAAAACATCCTGATGATATAAGGGAACCCTTTTTCAGAGCCAGTCAAACTGACCAGACCTGTTACAGTTGCTATATCATAGAGTAACATGCTTGCATAACCTGAATGATGATCATACTCACAGTGAATCAATAAGAAGACTGAGCTTTGAGTCTTTCTTCAGTTTGAACAAACACAGTCTTCATGCCAAGAGACCTTAATCAATCAAGTACGCTAATATGTTTCAACAAATTTTAAATCTTTCTTCCAACACAGTGGTACCCAACTTTTTTTTGCTGGTGACCCCTAAGACCAACCAATTTCCTCTTGCGACCCCTCATCACAGTGTGCATGTCTGAGCCGTTTAAACAAAGATTTATCTTCCCTGCTCAGACCACTTTATTCCTATACTTTTCAGGAGCCTAAAGAGATAAAGCTTTCCTGTATTTGACAAGTCAGAAATACAATAAAAGACATGACCCCCCTGGACACAAAGCATCACCCACATTTACCTCCCATCGACCCTGTAACCGATAAACCAGAGGCCCTCATTTATGACATGACTAGATTTGGAGATGGTACTCATGGAATTCCCATTCCCACACAATGCATTGAAAATATAACATGCAAGAGTCAACAGCAACACTTAATAGAGAGTTACGTAAGTCCTTTTGGAATATGTGAATTGATTCTAATAAGACATTAGAATCAGCTTTTTAAAAAGTTTTATAATATGTACATAATAGTATAATGTAAACTCTTCATGTCATTATTAACCCACACATTTCCAAAATATTACAAGGACATGACCTCATTGTCCTCAACGGTAGTGATGCCGCTGCCTAGAGACAGTGATTCCCAACCAGTGGTACTTCTGCCAGGAGGTACATGGAAAGCTTGTAGAGTGGCTTAATTCATTTGAAAATATGGTGTATATAATATTTAGGAATAATAATAATAATTATTATATGGATATTAGAGATGGACAGAGCCGCAGAAGGGCATCAACCCAGCGGCAGGACCGGTATCTGCTCCTTTGTGTGAGGAGGAACAGGAGGAGCACTACACAGAGCCCAACAAAATTACCTCCAGCGGGGTACTGCTGTGCATGTTTCTGACAAAACTATCAGAAACAGACTCCATGAAGGTGGCATGAGGCCCCGACGTCTTCTACTGGGATCCGTGCTCACAGCCCAGCAATGTGCAGCTCGATTAGCATTCGCCAGAGAACACCAGAATTGGCAGGTCTGCCATTGGCGCCCTGTTCTCTTCACAGATGAGACCAGGTTCACACTGAGCACATGTGACAGACTTGAAAGCGTCTGGAGTGGTGAACATTATGCTGCCTGCAACATCATCCAGCATGATTGGTGGTGGGTCAGCGATGGTCTGGGGAGGTATATCCTTGGAGTGTCACACAGGCCACGTGCTAGCCAACAGTACTTTGACTGCTGAAATCCTCAGAGCAATTGTCAGACCTTATGATGGTGCAGTATGCACCGGTTTCCTCCTGGTGCAGGACAATGCCCGGTCTCACGTGGTAAGAGTGTGTAGGCAGTTCCTGGATGACGAAGGCATTGATGCCATTGACTGGCCCTCACTTTCCCAGACCTGAATTCAATGGAGAACCTCTGGGACATTATGTATCATGGATCACATTGTGCATCAACACCGTCAAGAAGCGCCACAAACTGTTCAGGAGCACACTGATGCCCTGATTCAGGTCTGGAAGGAGATTCCCCAGGACACCATTCTATATCTTATCAAGAGCATGCCCAGACGTTGTCTGTAGTGCATACAGACACATGGGCGCCATACAGACTACTGAGTCACATTTTGAATTGCCATGATGAAAGTCACGTAGGTTGGATCAGCCTGTGATTTCTTTTTTTTTATTTTGATTTGATTTTATGAATGTTTTTGAATCCAGCCCTCAATCGTTTGGGGATTTTGGTTTCCATTGACCGTTATTTTGTTCTAAAGGAATTATACAATGTACAGTAAAGATTTTGAACTTTTTTGTTCATGAAGATCTGACGTGTGATTTGAGTGTTAATTTTTTTGAGCACTGTAGTTAGCTAAAACTAACGGAAACATCCAGTTTCTCCTGTGGTAGTGGCAAACCTGAACAAATCGACCTATACAGTAACAGTTCAATTGTATAAAAATATTGCAATAAACAATAAACAAAACAATAAACACTTTAATGTAATTAACAGTGTTAAACATTCAGTTTATTCAAATAAACACACATTTGAAACATGGTGCTGTTGATTAAGGGGTAGGCTACTTGAGTTAATCTACAGGAGGCTATGTCAGACAGAAAAGACTGTGCAGCATTGGTCTAAGACACATACCAGTTAAAAGTCTGTTCTCATAAATATGTGTAGTTTTATAGTGAGCACTTCCTCTTTCATAATCCTTTGCTGTTTATCTTCATCTGTCCCACCCACTCTGACTGTGTCTCTCTGTTCGGGTAAAGGCAGAGAGCAAATTTAATTGAAATCGAAACTGAAACTGTTGGATGACTGAAGGGGTGGAGAGAACGGAGAGAAAGAAGAGGCAGAAGGAAAACAGAGGACAAAGGATATCTCTGTAAGCTGGATCGCATCAAACGCATTAAGGTAAGGCCCTGTACATTTCTTTGTCTTGTCTTAAAATGCACTGTAATTGTCCCAAGATAGATTATACTTTAACTTTTAACACTGGAATTAGATACCATTACTGACAGATCAAGTTTATGTGATAAAAGGAAGGCATTTCTTGAAGTCTTATTTCTTATTATTAAACTGTCTCATCTTCAAGTGTACAGTATATGTTCCACTTACCTCACCTTCATTGTGTTGTGGTTGTACTGGAATACACTTTGGAATGGATTTAATTGTGTAATTTATAGAACACACGCACTTACTAATTACAGCTTTTGAAAAAACTGTATTCAAATAATTCCAGAATAGGCAAATTGTTCACAAAAGTCAAAATACGTCTTTGATGCTGTTATTTTTATCTTCTTAAATAGTGGCCCTAGACATGTAGAGAGAGTTCAACATTTTAAACACATACACAAATGCCCCAACCTTATTTCTTATTACAACGTGTCTTCTGTTGGGAATCTATAGTAAATACCATTTTAGTTGTACACGTTTGATAATGTGCTAACACATCCTGGTCACTACAACAGTTCAAGACCTGTGACATAGCTTTGGTTTCCAAGTGACATCTAAAAATTATTGAAAGTTTCAAAGATAGATCAAAGTTAATCCCTGACATTTGTCTTGCCACGCCCCTTTCACTGGCACAACAACAACAGGACCAGAGGGAATTTTTGCTTGCCATTGCTGTCAAGTGCTTGGTCTTGGTGGGAATTTTGTGTCTCTGTAAATAATATTACAAATAGTACTATGTCTAGGTATAGACCTGCTCTATATGAAAAGTGAAATGAGATCACTTCTGTTATGCATTGGTGCTATATAAATAAATTGAATTGAACACCTGTGTTTCTATTAACACGCTGTGACACACGTCACTGAGACAACATGCAAGTGTCAGCCCACAGAGACAAGAGAAACCCTGCAATATTAACAGTATATTTACACTTTAAAGGTCCAGAAGACTTTTGCCTTAATGTGTATAGTGTATTTGACAGCTACTGCTGCTGCTGATAATAATAATGATGATGTCTTTTGTGGTTGTAAAAGCTAAATGGTCATTTTAAAGCAATATTTTGCTGGTGGTGAAAACCTTGAATGTCTGAAATTAAGTTTACAGGAAACATTAAACGCAGCCATATTTCTCACTTAACTGCCACACATATTTAATTGAACTGGCTTTGAACAGTTTTCTGGGTGGACCGTGCCCTATGTACTGAGAGATCGATACCTGGTTGTATAAAAGCGTTCCCTGACATCGCTGGATGACTGTTCCCTGACAGATGCAGTGCCTCCAAGATCAGGATGCTCTAATCCCTCGGCCTCGTGGGACTTTGCCAAGGGTGTGTGCCGCGGTGCTGGCTGCCGTATCAATAGGAGTCATCGTGTTACTGTCTCCTGAAAGGTTATTTGGCTGGGTTGCCATGGTAATACTCACCCTGACCCTTGGCCCTCTACTGCACGGGCTTTGTCTGCTAGCAGAGGAGGTGCTGTATCATTCGAACACAAGGTTAGAGAAAAGGTGTGGTTGTGTGTGTTACAGTCAATTGAAGAACGAGGAGAAACAGATCGGTCGAAAGTGGATTTTGAAAAGAAAAATCTGGGCAACATTTTGAATTTAAAGCTTGCGTTCTGGGTAGTACTTTTTTGTAAAGCTGCTCTAACCAATGGATCAAATAACTCATAATGACAAACTCACAATTTCTAACCAGCATGCCTTAGGTTAAGTCCAGCATGCCGGCTGCGCCCCCTCCCCCCCGTGCCACAGATACACTGTCTTGGTATCCCAGACGAGACCAAGACCAGTCTCAAAACCTCTTTTTGATGGTCTTGGTCTCGTCACGGTCTCGACCGCATTCGTACTCGGTCAGTCTCGGACATTGAGTACTTGGGATTTTATTTCAAGACCAGTCAAAACCATACCTTTGGGAATATCAATAAATTACTGATTTATTTGTTAGCATCCTAACTTTGATTGGATGGAAAACATATTGCTTCAAATGCAACAAATAACCTTTATTAAAAATGTGTTGTTACCGTTAACGACCGTTGCCCCATCCCGCAAAGGTATGTGGGTGTTTTAATGGGAACGTGGATCTTTCAGATCAATCTGAGAAGTACCTATGATCTTGTTTCACATTCCACTGTGTTCATGTAATGTGGGGAACAGGTCTTGGTCTTGACTCTGTCTCGCCCTCACTCGGTCTTGGTCTCGACTTGGTCTCAGCCCCTAAAAGTCTTGGTCTCTTCTCGGTCTCAATAAACTCTGGTCTTGGTCTTGACTTGGTCTCAGTTTGGGCGGTCTTGACTACAACACTAGTATACAGTTTACAGTTAGTGATTACATTTCAATTCTACAATTAGGCCACATTCCTATAAATCCAGGTGCTTCCTGTCAACAACACGTTACTTCTTGCTCCAAAGAACATGTAGAGGCAGGTAGAAGTTAACACTGATCTCAGTAGCAGTATGTTTACAGTAATAATTTCAACAAGTTTACAGGGATAACAGAACCCTCTTTCCTTCTCTGTTTTTATCAGGTACCGAGGGGTGCTGAGCCACATGCTGCCAGCCTGCGGTTTGGGGGGAAAGACCCTGCTGACCGCAGGGCTGGCTGGCCTTCTGCTCTACTTGGCCGGACATCCTCTGCCACACAAAGGCCAGTGTGGGAAACTCCTCGTCCTGGCCTCGGTTCTTTACGCGCTGTTCAAAAGCCTGGGAGTCCTGGTGAGGTCCACAACTGACAAATGAGCACTACTGTCTTTGTTTTTCTGGGCCCTCTGTCTTTCTCTTCCACTGCAGTACAAACACAAAAAACTATCCTTTGAAAAGTTGAAAAAGGTAGATGTGTTCCTTCCTAAAGGGCCGTGCTAGTGTCCTGATATACTACCAAGTTTAAGTGTTTTTCTGTCCTTCCAGGATGCCATTAGTTAGACATCTCTTCATGTAACAAATGACAGGTTAGGCTAAATGTATGGAGTGGACATCTGGGGCATTGCAACCTTGTTTATACTTTAGCAAAGGCTAGAAACCAATTTTAGGATTATGTTTCAGAAGATACTCCATATAACTTATTTAGCAGCCAGTCACTGTCCCGGGAAAATGCTTCTGGTGTCTTTTTTCTTAGACAAAGCCTCCTTCAACACCGTACCTTTGACGACTAGTGTTTGTACAACACCTCTGAGCCCTGCAGTGGATATCAGGTTGTGCTGTCAATCTGCTGAGCCCTCTCATAACCAACACCCCTCACTAACATGAAGTGGGAGCAAGCTAACAAGCTAACACTTTGAGACACATGCTACTTGTGCTAGCAACAAATCATACACTTCAGCTGTCAACATACTAACTAACAATACCCAGCTAACAACATGTTAGGCTTACTAGCATGTTGCCAAGATAAAAATCATGGCACAAGTAAAACTGTTAAACCAGCTTATGTGAATCAACTAAACTAAACAACTCTAAAAGATAATTATATACTTTAAAAACACTTGGAAAAATGGTAGCCTACAGTGAATCTTTCTCTTCATATTCTTCATTAATTTAGTTATTTTATTTGATCAGAATCTGAGCGCGTACTTACAGCATAGTAGAAGTGAAAAATAGCTCAATTTTAGCATTAGAGCTCAACACTTAAGACAGAACCGTCCCTATGTAGGAACACTTCCCGAAGCATCAGTTGATTGTAATTGATATGACATTTCTGGAGTAAAAATAGGCTCAAAATATGTCTTCATCAGCAAGAATGACCATAGCACTCCCGCTGTTCTCAAAGACTTGCAGTGTAACTCTGACCCCGCTGTTCCCTCAGGCTCCTTATACAAACTGGCAGCATTGCCCCAGTCTCTGTCCCCTGCTTCCGCACTGAATTAAATCTAAAAATATATACCTCCTATATAGGAAAGGGCAGCTTGGGTGCAGGGATGCCCTTTTCTTTCACCTGACACCTTCCCAAAGGTGTCAGGCGACTCCTGAGCACAGGTGATGTGTTGTGACATTCTTCTGATTTTGATTCTGTGGTTGGTGTACAGGGCCCGTCAGAGGTGGAGGTGTCAGACATCTGCGAGCGGAGAAAGATGAACGTGGCCCATGGCTTGGCCTGGTCCTTTTACCTGGGCTATCTGCGACTCGTGCTACCGCGTCAGTAACATCCAAACACACACACACAAACCATTTCCAATTGGCTTGTCCTTCTTCATTTAACATTACACAGCCGTCACTGGAGTACCAGTTTGTGGAATTTACTTACTACTTACTACACAATATAATCAATTTAATTGGCTATACACTACAAGTCTGTTTTTAGAATAACCTCTAAGCTACACCACCATCAAATATTAATCTTTGGTGATACTTCAGCTGTATTCTCTATCCGTTGTGGTTTACAGAGTCATAGTATTGCACCTTGCACTACATTATAGTGATTCTACAAATATGGCTGAATGTGAATAAAGTGATATAAAATAATGTGTTGTGTGTCCATTCAGATTTGGAGGATTCCATCACAAAATTTCATGCCACCCATCAGGCAAACAGCCCCTTCAGGAGTCGTGGCTCCAGGAAGCTCCTTATTCTCATACCTCTCAACGCCAACATTTCTCACAAGCTGGAGGACGAGGACGACAACATCCATTTCTATGACAACTTACCCAACAATGAAATAAACAGGGCGGGAGTCCGGGGGCGGGTCTACAAGCACAGCGTCTACAGAGTACTGGACGGGGATGGAAAGGTAGGCAGGGGTGTAATATAATAGATACAGATTTAGATTATACCAGATCTTAGATTGTAAGAACACATGCTGAAGTGCTTTCACGTATGTTGACATAAAAGCTGAAAAGCCTGATGCCATCCATCCATTGTCTGTTCTTTTTAAAAATCGCAGCATGCACTGAGATAAAGGAAAGGAAACAGGTCTCCAGTCTCCCTCAGTCCTGTGTACCTTTATTTTATGTTATAGATCTTAAATTGGATTGCAAACCGCTGAGGTTAGCCATCACAGTTTAAGCAGATTATATTCAGAAATGTCTCTCAGTTTCATAGCAAAAATGTTCAGTCAAAATTAAATAAGAGATCCTGCAGTTTCAATGCCACTGAGTTACTTGTGCTGCAATTCAACTTAGCCTCTGTCTTCTTATTGCCAGAGAGTTGAAAGACTTAGTGTGCTGGTATTTTATCCTTTGATCAGATTTGTAAAGACTGCACAGCTAAAATGAAACATACTGTAGAAAGTGGCAGACTCGAGGGGCAGTTTCTGCATAGTTTTTTCAGTATTTCAAGATAGCACGTCAGTGTGCTCTATATTCAATATGTTTGATGTAGCAAATCTAACACTGACTGTACTCAAAACCACCTCTGTAGTTGCGTGGAAGGAAAGTAAGTTTGGGCTGCATGACAGCATCCTGAGTTTCATGTGAGACCAGAAATAGCCACAAATTATATCAAAGTGATTACAAGAATGATGTTATGTCATTACACAGAATAAGGTGATAATCCAGGTTTGACCCTATACCATTTAGTCCAGTGATGTACTTAAATATAATTTTGAGGTACTTCACTACATTTCAGAGGGAACTGTTATACTTTTACATTTACACAGCTATGGTTACCGTACAGATTAAAAGTTGTAACAAAACATGTCACCATCCTACAAATGTGGGCTGCAGCTAGTGTTTGTTTTGATTGTGGATTAATCTGATGAACATTTTCTTAATTACTGAAATAATTGCTTACTCTATAAAATGTCATAAAATAGTGATAACTGTCCAGAGTGGCGTGTCTGAAACCCAAAGACTTAAATTGACAATGGTATAAAACCAGAGAATGTTTGGAGTTGCTGATTGAAAAATTACTATTAAAATTGTTTTTCTGTCCAGCAACTACTTGTTTAAACTCTGATACAAATATGGCCAGCTAGAACATTAAAATGAAAATCAGTGGTAATATTCCATTGATATTTCTATAAATATATAATTCCATAACGAGTAGCCTTGTACTACTTTTGATACCTTAACCCTTGTTCCCTCCTCAAATTTGGCACCTTCTCGACACCTTCGTGGCAAAAACATACACGCACAAAAAAACTTCTCTTAAATAATCATATATCGATATTTTTGTTTTTAATTCATAAATCACTTACACAACTTCTACCTTGCTCAAAACTACCAAAAAATCAATTATTTTCATGATTTTAACCCTTTAAATGCCAGTTTAATTATTTGAATCATTTCAATATTTATTACAAAAAAACACAATATTTCCATTAAATAAAAAGCAGGGATGATATGTCAAAGATTAGCAACAAAATTGATTTGATTGCATGAGTATATTTAATGTAGTGTCAGATTTAAAATTAGACACCTTCTGGACACCTTCGTGTCAAAAATGTACATGCACAAAAAATCTGCTATTAAAAAAAATTTCATAAATCACTTTAAGCGAGACTATGTCACAATGAATAACACATTCTTCTTCTTACAAATGAAAAGTTTAATTCATAAGCAATAAAACACCCTTGCTCAATTCCACCATTGAGAGATCTGGTGTGACCAGTAGCTTATTGTAGCTAATGTAGTCAAACTTTGGTAGATATTACTGTAGTAACTGATGTTGCAGAGTCATTTTGCTGACTTGATAACTCACCTCTGGTTGTCCAGTGTTACGGCCTTATTACGGAATTTATTTCCACTCTACACACTACACATTAAAATACTCTTTTATCTTTCTTTGCCAAAAACATGTTTTGAGACTATAAAAGACAGACTGAGACTAGTGGCACCGTTTTTACACACTTCCCTTCCATAGCACAGCACCAGTACCACCTCCTGACTAAATCTAAGAAATTCACCTGCGGAGACATAATTTTGCAAAGCACAGTAACAGCACCATCTACTTGTAAAACATGGTAATCAAACATTTCTTGTGCCACAATTCCACAAGCTTTTAAAGGATTAGTTGTCCTGTGATGTATCTACCTCTGGGTGTCTGTTTTGTCTCTGTTTTTGCTAATGTGTGTGTGTGTGTGTGTGTGTGTGTGTGTAAACAGGCCCATGAGTGTGTGGTGGAGTATGCAACGCCTCTGCTGACGCTTTACAGCATGTCCCAGGAGAGCAGCGCTGGTTTCGGGGAGCCTGAGCGCAGACAGCAGGTTCTGCTCTTCTACAGGACCCTGCAGGACATACTGGATCACTCGCTGGAGTGTCGCAACCGCTACACACTCATCCTGCTCAAAGGTAGGAAGACAGTCAAGCGTGTGTCTGTGTGTGTGGGGAAACTTTATACGCACATTGTGGCATCAGACAGACTGCTTTTAGGGGGATTTCAGCTTTTAGCTTATCCGCCCCTCCACAAGGATTGACAATCAGGATTTGTGTATTTATGGTTTTCTTTTGCAGTATGTGTGTTTAAAAAAAAAAAGAAGGTGCCTTATGCCACACAGTAGACCTGAAATGAAGGATGAAACCCAGTTTCATAGCATAAATACGCCATCATGCGATTTTAGCATAGTTATTAGATTATCATTTATTTCACAAGGATACCTTTTTTAAAAGAAATGAGTGAAAAACAATGACAATGATTAGAGGCAGGGTGCTCGAACAAAACATCGATAATGTTTGCTTCTTCTTCTAGATGAGCACGAGGACGACCCTCACGTCCTGTCCAAGGCCATCCTCAGACACCTGCAGCAGCAGGAGAAAGAGGAGTTCTGCCTCACCCCACCCCCTCACCAGGAGACGGAGCACCCGTTGTCGAGTACTCCAAGTTCCCTCCCCATAAACAATTACTGGCACCACCCCGACCCAATGAGCAGGGAGCCCACGCTCATGTTTAGCCTGGAGAGACCTCTGCCTCTCAAGGAACCTGTTGAGAACACCGACGATTATCAAGGAAGACAATAAACACTGTTTTGTCATAGTATAGTCTTGTTATACATATACCAGCCTGACAGATAATAGCAATTAAAACCTTTGCCACCTTTGCTTAGCAGAAGAGTTATGTTTCATTTGACCTTCTCTGTGTTTAATGGTTTAGTGAGTAACTATTGCCAGAGTCTCTGGCAACAGTATTATGTGTCATTGTGACCAACATTAAAGGTTAAGTATGTAATATTTCTGAGGATTTATTGACAGAAATGCAAAATAATATTCATAACTATATTTTCAGTGGTGTATAAAGACCTTACATTGAACCGTTATGTTTGTATAACCGTCACTACATTGAATGCATACCACGAAGAAGAGGAAATAATAATAATAATAATAATAATATATGGAAGGTTCTAATGTGGGGCTGATGTTTTCAAAGCGGTGCTGAAGTTGTCTGTTTTTTGCTGGACAGGTAGGCTAATTAAGTTAGTCGGACTTTAGCGATGCAAATGAAAACTACTTACGTAGTTGGATTAATTTCATGTATATTCTCCAGCGCTGTTTTGGCTTACATTCCTGAGACAATCAGCTGATCACTAATTGGCCATAAAATGGCAGCTTACAGCACCGAAGCTCAGATCTGCCCGCTAAACTTTTACTGCCCTGGTAGAAAAAATATGTAGTTGGATTATACTTTGATGTAGTTATTCTACAGCGCTCTGTTATTGCTTTGTTACGTGGACAGAAATGTGCCGTTACCTTCGTGAGACAATCAGCTGATGAATATTATTGGCATTTAAACAGTAACAGCAGGGAAGCTCAGATCAGCAGCTAAACTTCACATTTTACAGCCCTGGTGGAAAACATTTACCACAAGCTGAAGTTATGGCTGTCAGTACTACTATGTGTTTCCGTTGTATTTAAAAAAATTAAAAAAGACATTTTGGTAAGATTTGCAGATTGCTTATCTAATTAATTAAGCAAAGCGAAACTTCATGTATTATGTGGTTTATAATGGACTGTGGTGCAGAAACAGTGAGGCTTACATTTTCCTGTTATCAGTCAGTGGTCATAGTTGATGCACTAGATGAAATTGTTTTTGAGATGTTCTTCATTTACTTTGGTACATTTACATTTATTCTATCTATGTAAAGAAACTTAATTTCTTGACTGGCAACTCTCTGCTATCACATAGACGATGTCTTTTGTCATGTCTGGGGCACTGTACCTACAGTATACTACTCGCTTGGATAGGGGAGGGGAGGGGTGGGTGCAATTTGTTGTAATTCGCAATTCTCACCACTAGATGTCACTAAAACTTACACACTGAACCTTTAATTGCAATTGTGGAAAACCCTCAGACTGAACACAGAGAGCTTGCTTTAGTGCCAAGGAGGTGTTGCAACTGGAAAGTGTTGTTAAGAGATCAGGATGTGATCTTCTGCCAACATCAGCCCATCCAGTTAATATGCGGTTAAATTAGTCTAGAGCAAAAGTGTCCAGTCGTCCTGCATTTAGCTATTTCACTATTCAACTGAACCTCAATGAGCTTTCAAAGAAAGGGACAGAGCGGATAGTTAAAATGAAAACACTTTGTCTCAATAAAGATTTAAAGTTGTGCAAATGTTGTTGAAGCAACGGAAAGTATGACAACATAATCATTGTGAAGGGAAAATGGGCATTCATTATGGGTGAAACAAAGTTGTAGGTAGACCAGGACAGTGTGAAACAAGGGAAAAACAAGTACAATTGTGTTTTATGACGTATAAACGAAAGATACAGTCACATGACACCTCACACCGCGCCTGTTTCTCGGTGTCTCACATGCACACACACCTCATGACCTGAAACTGCTCGGTGAGGTTGCATCAGACATGTAGAGGCAGAGGTGAGATAAGGACAGAGGGATCTGATCCAAACCATGCTGAATTATCAACACAACTTTGGAATACTGCATATCCAGATGATTTATAAGGTGCAAATGTAGCATGTACACAGTTAGAGACAAAATATCAAACAATGTGGGCCTTTGTTTTAAGCTCAGCGGCACTGTGCATGATGAAGTAGGCCTGACAGGTCAGTGGTTCTCAACCTGAGAACACAACATTAAATTTATTTCCCCTACATGTATGTATCACTCTTTGGTAGAACTGCTTATAAACACACACTTGTGATGAGGGGTCAAGGGTCAAGAAGGTGCTGTACAGCTCACTTGCCTTGCTCCGGACCACTTATGGAGTTAAACAAAACATGCTTTTGGTTGGTCAACAGCACAATCAGAATCAGAATCAGAATCAGAATCAGAATCAGCTTTATTGCCAGGTATGTGTTCACATACGAGGAATTTGACTCAGGATTGTACATTTTTCATGATGTGCTTACTCATACAAAAATACCATAACACAATAATAAAATAATAATAAAATACAATAAATAATCAGACACAAACTACAGTATAAACAACACTAATATACACACTATGAACAAAACAATATAGATATATTGACAAATAGTGCAGTGATCAGAGTACAAAGGATGCAAGAGTAAACTATTATCCTCATTATGTACATGTTGAAGGTGGATATGATATACAGATACACATATACATACATGCATACATGTACACATGTACACAGTGTGATGGAGCATAGTGCAAAGGATGCTGGAAAAAATAAAAAAGACCTATGACCTTATGACCTGAGGTAGGTGTATTGGTATGCAGAATATACAATATGACATAGTATGAACAGCACTGAAATAGAGAATGGTGAATAAATAAATAATAGTAGTAACCAGTAAACAGGTGGCTGATTAGAGACAGAGTTACTGGGTTATTGCACAGGAATTGTTCCTGACACTGTGAGTCAGAAATCAGCTGTTCATCAGAGTGATGGCTTGTGGAAAGAAACTGCTTCTGAGTCTGTTGGTTTTGGCGTACAGTGCTCTGTAGCGCCTACCAGAGGGGAGGAGCTGGAACAGGTTGTGTCCGGGTTGAGATGGATCTGCAGTGATGTTTCCTGTCTAAGTCCTGAATGGAGGGCAGGTTGGCACCGATTATTTTTTCTGGAGTCCTGACTGTATGTTGTAGTCTGTCCTTGTCCTTTTTGGTGGCAGATCCAAACCAGAGAGTGATGGAGGTGCAGAGGACAGACTGGATGATGGCTGTATAGAACTGGATCAGCAGCTCCTTAGGCAGGTTGAGCTTCCTGAGCTGACGCAGGAAGTACATCCTCTGCTGGGCCTTCTTGATGATGGTGTCAGTGTTGGGCTCCCACTTCAGGTCCTGGGATATAGTGGATCCCAGAAACCTGAAGGATTCCACAGCAGACACAGGGCTGTTGAGTATGGTGATGGGGGGCAGAGTGGGGGGGCTCCTCCTGAAGTCCACGGTCATCTCCACAGTTTTGAGCGTGTTAAGCTCCAGGTTCCTCTGACCGCACCAGAGACCAAGCTGATCAACCTCCCGTCTGTAGGCCGACTTATCACCGTCCCGGATGACGCCGATGACCGTTCAGGAGTTTCAGATGGGTCTCCTGAGGTGCAGTTGTTGGTGTAGAGGGAGAAGAGCAGTGGGGAGAGCACACACACGTCCTCTTTACAGATCTTGAGTGCAGGTGCAAGCCCTCATTTAAACTTATTCACCATTCAATAGGTGCCTTAGGGAACCTTTTTTTAGATAACAATGTAATTTCATTTTATAGATTTATAAAACAACACTGAACAGTGCACGATGCATAGTGGAACTCTCTTTTAGTGAATGACTTGATCCTCTGACTTTTCATTTAGCGCAACCAGGAACTCAAAATGCTGACTTACTCAGTGAAATGTCTCAACATCAATATTTTGGTTTATGACAAAAGACATGCAACAGCAACACTAATGACTTCAAACTAGGGCTGTGCAATATAGCCAAAAAAAAAAGAATTCAATATCAATAATTAGGGTCAAAATGTGACAAACACTTGATGCCAAACAGGGGCGGCTGTGGCTCAGGAGGTAGTAATTGGAAGATTGGCGGTTCAATCCCTGGCTCCTTCAGGCTCTGTGTCCTTGAGCAAGATACTGAACCCCGAATTGCCCCCGAAGGCTGTATGTAAGTTCTATTTCAGCACTTAGGCTCAGTGTATGAACGTGGGTGAATGCAATGTAGCGTAACAGCTCTTTGAGTGGTCGCAAAGACTAGAAAGGTGATATACAAATACAGAGCATTGACACACACACAGAGCATTTGGATCACTTAACAAATCTAAGGTAGAACATTCAAAACTATAATGATAAAATCTTTCTTCAAAAAATATGATCAGTAAATATTTTTTTAGTCCCTTTTCCTCAACAAAATAAATATCTAAATAGAAAAATTAAGTTTGATTCAAATGAATTAAATCAAACATTTATTGACAATATATTGAACATTTGTTATATTGTTATTATATTTTACAGAGTAAATGATTGATCCATTAACAAAATGGCTTCCAGCAAATAGTGGACACTTTTGTAAACTGAGCAAGGTTTATTTCAGCAACATGAGTTTTTATGTCAATAACCAGGCAGTTGTTTCATCAGGGCACTGCATGAATTGGTATGTTTTGACCACAATCCCTCGTTATGTAAGGATTAAAAAAAACAACAGTCACTTGTTATAGAAATTGCAACAAAGACAGATGATTACCAGAAACAGGTCTGACTTGTTCTCCACCAGCTGTCTGACATCAGCTGACACATGATGTATGGGACTAAAAGCAGTTGTTAATGCCAGAACCTTTAAGGGTGTATCACATACATTTCTGATTAGCTATAATATCCTAAGAATCCTAAATCATAACGAATCAGCTGGAATCAAGAATGATCTGTCTGGTCACCTGTACAATCACAAAGAGTCAACAAAACGTTGGTTTTGTAAGAAATGGAAGAACTCGATCATTCAATACCTCATTTAATAAAAATGCTATTTCAAAGGGAATGACATCAGCCTGTTCTGCACAGTGTCAATCTTTTCTTATTTGCAGTTTTGCAAATTGATGCATGTCCCTCATTGTTCTCTTAGATAGCCATGACTTCATACAACATGACAAAACAGTACTGGTGGCCACCATCACTCAGAATTTGGTGGTGCTGGTTGTTCAAGTTTAGGTGGAAAATGCTTGTTTTTTTACATTAAAGTAGGTTTTCATTTGGAACTGATGACTGAGGTGTTGGGCAGTAACGTGTTACTCAGTAACTGTAATATTATTTCTTTTCCCAGT